ACCACCTGGCAGATTTGACCCATTCTTTATAACCATCCATATATACTAGTTTATATGGTATATGGTACTAGTTTAAATGGAAATCTTATCTGTGAATCTTGCCTACAGATGAGAAAGAAGACATGCTGTCTTTCTCATCTGCCTTTTTTGTTATCGTTACCACAAAATTTTGCAAATCACCTTGACATAACCCTCATGCTATAACAGCATGATATAGGACTTTTACGTCTTTTAGGGTCCAGTAATGAAATTCTAGATCACTTTATATACGATTGCATTTGATATGTAAGGAATCAAAAGAAACTGTTGTACCAACATTTAAATTATAAACCGTCATCCCAACATCACTTTAAAAGTACTAAAATGGTGAAAAACTGCAGAATGTCAATGGAAAATGTGGCTAGGGGATAGGGGTGTCTCTCAACCGACCCCCCCCCCCCCCTCGGACTAGTACATGTGGTATGCCAAAGTCCAATTCAGTTCTACATATGCTAGGTTTTGCAGTTTTGTTGGCCTCTTTAGCTATTGCAATCACTGACTTGTGCGTCTGTCTGTCAACAATAGTGAAATGTTTTAAAACCATCAGTGTCACAATATAGGGTAGCGATTTTTCGGTTTTTATTTTGTGCTACTTTTGGACTTAGAATAAAATTTAAAAAGACCAGGCATTTTAAAAAACATAGCTACAGTTCAGTTCAGCCTAGACTATCTATAGATTTTCATACCTTTTTTGAAAACCAACACAAAAGGCCAAAAGTAACACTTTTCCAGAAAATAAACAAGAGTCAGCCTATCGATAGATTTTTATACCTTTTTTTCAAAACCAACACAAATGGCCAAAAGTATCACTTTCTGGAAAATAAACAGAGTCCAGCCTATCAATATATTTTCATCCAGTTTTTCAAAACTAACACAAATGGCCAAAAGTAACACTTTTCCAGAAAATAAACAGAGTCCAGCTATCGATAGATTTTCTTACCTTTTTTCAAAACCAACACAAATGGCAAAAAGTAACACTTTTCCAGAAAATAAATATTTTGTGCTACTTTTGGACTTAGAATAAAATTTAAAAAGACCAGGCATTTTAAAAAACATAGCTACAGTTCAGTTCAGCCTAGACTATCTATAGATTTTCATACCTTTTTTGAAAACCAACACAAAAGGCCAAAAGTAACACTTTTCCAGAAAATAAACAAGAGTCAGCCTATCGATAGATTTTTATACCTTTTTTTCAAAACCAACACAAATGGCCAAAAGTATCACTTTCTGGAAAATAAACAGAGTCCAGCCTATCAATATATTTTCATACCTTTTTTCAAAACCAACACATGGCGAAAAGTAACACTTTTCAGAAAATAAACAGAGTCCAGCTATCGATAGATTTTCTTACCTTTTTTCAAAACCAACACAAATGGCAAAAAGTAACACTTTTCCAGAAAATAAACAGAGTCCAGCCTATCGATAGATTTTGATACCTTTTTTCAAAACCAACACAAATGGGGAAAAGTAACACTTTTTCAGAAAATAAACAGAGTCCAGCCTACCGATAGATTTTCATACCTTTTTTCAAAACCAACACAAATGGCTAAAAGTAACACTTTTTTCGGAAAATAAATAGAGTCCAGCCTATCGATAGATTTTGATACCTTTTTTCAAAACCAACACATATGGCGAAAAGTAACACTTTTTCGGAAAATAAACAAGAGTCTAGCCTATCGATAGATTTTGATACTTTTTAAAAACCAACACAAATGGCGAAAAGTAACACTTTTTCAGAAAATAAATCGGTAGGCTGGACTCTGTTTATTTTCTGAAAAAGTGTTACTTTTCGCCATTTGTGTTGGTTTTGAAAAAAGGTATCAAAATCTATCGATAGGCTGGACTCTGTTTATTTTCTGGAAAAGTGTTACTTTTTGCCATTTGTGTTGGTTTTGAAAAAAGGTAAGAAAATCTATCGATAGCTGGACTCTGTTTATTTTCTGGAAAAGTGTTACTTTTGGCCATTTGTGTTAGTTTTGAAAAACTGGATGAAAATATATTGATAGGCTGGACTCTGTTTATTTTCCGGAAAGTGATACTTTTGGCCATTTGTGTTGGTTTTGAAAAAAAGGTATAAAAATCTATCGATAGGCTGACTCTTGTTTATTTTCTGGAAAAGTGTTACTTTTGGCCTTTTGTGTTGGTTTTCAAAAAAGGTATGAAAATCTATCGGTAGGCTGGACTCTGTTTATTTTCTGAAAAAGTGTTACTTTTCGCCATTTGTGTTGGTTTTGAAAAAAGGTATCAAAATCTATGGATAGGCTGGACTCTGTTTATTTTCTGAAAAAGTGTTACTTTTCACCATTTGTGTTGGTTTTGAAAAAAGGTATCAAAATCTATCGATAGGCTGGACTCTGTTTATTTTCTGAAAAGTGTTACTTTTCACCATTTGTGTTGGTTTTGAAAAAAGGTATCAAAATCTATCGATAGGCTGGACTCTGTTTATTTTCTGAAAAAGTGTTACTTTTGGCCCTTTGTGTTGGTTTTGAAAAAAGGTATCAAAATCTATCGATAGGCTGGACTCTGTTTATTTTCTGGAAAGTGCTACTTTTCACCATTTGTGTTGGTTTTGAAAAAAGGTATGAAAATCTATCGTATGCTGGACTCTGTTTATTTTCTGAAAAGTGTTACTTTTCGCCATGTGTTGGTTTTGAAAAAAGGTATGAAAATCTATCGGTAGGCTGGACTCTGTTTATTTTCTGAAAAAGTGTTACTTTTGGCCATTTGTGTTGGTTTTGAAAAAAGGTATCAAAATCTATCGATAGGCTGGACTCTGTTTATTTTCTGGAAAGTGCTACTTTTCACCATTTGTGTTGGTTTTGAAAAAAGGTATGAAAATCTATCGTATGCTGGACTCTGTTTATTTTCTGGAAAAGTGATACTTTTCGCCATTTGTGTTGGTTTTCAAAAAAGGTATGAAAATCTATCGATAGGCATATGACTCTGTTTGTTTTCTGGAAATGTGCTACTTTTGGCCATTTGTGTTGGTTTTGAAAAAAGGTATGAAAATCTATCGATAGGCTGGACTCTGTTTATTTTCTGGAAAGTGCTACTTTTCACCATTTGTGTTGGTTTTGAAAAAAGGTATGAAAATCTATCGTATGCTGGACTCTGCATGTTTATTTTCTGGAAAGTGCTTTTTCACCATTTGTGTTGGTTTTGAAAAAAGGTATGAAAATCTATCATATGCTGGACTCTGTTTATTTTCTGGAAAGTGCTATTTTTCACCATTTGTGTTGGTTTTGAAAAAAGGTATGAACATCTATCGTATGCTGGACTCTGTTTATTTTCTGAAAAGTGTTACTTTTCGCCATTTGTGTTGGTTTTGAAAAAAGGTATGAAAATCTATCGGTAGGCTGGACTCTGTTTATTTTCTGAAAAAGTGTTACTTTTCGCCATTTGTGTTGGTTTTGAAAAAAGGTATCAAAATCTATCGATAGGCTGGACTCTATTTATTTTCCGAAAAAAGTGTTACTTTTAGCCATTAGTGTTGGTTTTGAAAAAAGGTATCAAAATCTATCGATAGGCTGGACTGTTTATTTTCTGGAAAGTGCTACTTTGGGCCATTTGTGTTGGTTTTGAAAAAAGGTAGTCTATCAAAATCTATCGATAGGCTGGACTCTGTTTATTTTCTGAAAAAGTGTTACTTTTGGCCATTTGTGTTGCGTTTGAAAAAAGGTATGAATATCTATCAATAGGCTGGATTCTGTTTATTTTCTGGAAAAATGTTACTTTTGGCCATTTGTGTTAGTTTTGAAAAACTGGATGAAAATATATTGATAGGCTGGACTCTGTTTATTTTCTGGAAAGTGCTACTTTTCACCATTTGTGTTGGTTTTGAAAAAAGGTATGAAAATCTATCGTATGCTGGACTCTGTTTATTTTCTGGAAAAGTGATACTTTTCGCCATTTGTGTTGGTTTTCAAAAAAGGTATGAAAATCTATCGATAGGCATATGACTCTGTTTGTTTTCTGGAAAAGTGCTACTTTGCGCCATTTGTGTTGGTTTTGAAAGAGAGTCCATTTTATGCTATAGCCTACGTTATCTCTTTTGACGAGTGCTGTTCTTATTTTTTTAATCTGATCCCTGATGCCTGGTCATTTTAAATTTTATTCTAAGTCCAAAAGTAGCACAAAATAAAAACCAAAAAATCTCTACCCTATATCGTGACATATATCTTTAAAACCTTTGTCGATAAGATTCCTGTTTTAAGTTATTTCTGTTCAACATCATTACAGAAAACTCCCCTATGACTCCTGGTTCAGAAGCTTATTTTCAAAATGGCCGGCATTTTTGTCTCTCACAATTCACTTTTGGACCATTTGGTAGCTTTATAAATAAATTCAGGTGTCTTCCATTGTAAAAACACATGTCAATGTAAAGACCAGTAGTACGGTATGTAATAATTTTGTTATAAAAAGTCGCCAAAAAATTATATCTATTTTTTTCAGTTATTTTAATTAACGTTGATTTGTCCATCTGTCTCTCAGTTAGTCCACAATAGTGGCACGTTCTAAAACCTCTGTCGATAGGATTTCCGTTTTAAGTTATTTCTCTTGAACATCAATACAGAAACCTCCCCTATGACTCTTGTTTCAGACCTATTTTCAAAATGGCTGACATTTTTGTCTCAGAAAATACACTTCAATCTGTCAATCCACAATAGTGGTATAGAATCATTTTATGTTTGTGTATATTTCTTTACATTATATGGAAGAAAACCGGATATTTCATTATTTCATATTGTAAACCTTAGATATGACGATTGTGATTTATACGGAGGTAGTATACACCACACACTCAATGGAATTAATTGTAGTGTTTAGACATTTCAAAGATTCTCAATGTTTAACATTTAAGCTAAGTGTGTATGATTGGAATATTTATGCAATCCTGATTGGAGTCACATATTGTATTTTCAACTCATTCCATAATATGATGTGAATCATGAAAAGACTGAAGAGAATATTGGTTTCATAAAGTGTTTAAAAATGAGAAAATTCAGTTTTCTTCTTATTTTTCTTCTTGCATTTCTGCATTTATTTTACAGAGGAGACAAGGTATATATAGTATATATCATGTGCAATACTACTCATGTATGTAATAACTCATGTATCATCAGTGATCAACCAGATACAGAAAATCTGTTCAGAGTAAATATGCTATATTATTATTATGTCGCTTTTATTCCCATAATAAAATGGATTAAACATTCACATTGGCAAAGATTTCACACATACAAAGGTTTAACTGCACTCAAACTGCATAAAACAGTCAACTTGACATATTTATAATTGATTGGGAAATGCAGGGGATATGCTCCATTGATTGAACAGGGTATTAGCCACAACCATCCATTCATGAAAATATAGGCAACTTGAAATAAGCGTTATCTACACTAATGACATCTTATCTGGGTGTGATGTACTAGAAGCATAACAAATGCATTTCCCATTGGACCCCATTATAGCAGATTATCATAATCCTAATCCGTAAGGAATGATTAAAATATTTCAAGTGATGAAACATAGGTTATGGTACACTGTAACTTTGCATGAAAAATTGTAAAAAATTGATGGATGATGGTGAAAATGATGAATGAATTTTGAAAAAATGCCTGTTAATGGGTAGATTAAACACAGATTATGAGATAATCCAATTGATCTTGGAACCGATCTTTGAACTTTTCTTAAAGTTGACACATAGGACTTTCATATTCATTTATTTTTTACAGCCAGAAACTACTAGCAAAAAAATTATCAACTGTCAAACATCTGTTGCACTAACTTCCGTGACCCTTTATGTCTGATATATATTTATTGTATCATCAGAATGTTTCTCACCTTCTCATTAGATAAAAACTGACCACATGATTTAAAATGTGAATGTGTATTTCATTGTCACCTATCCTGGATGTTCAGCATATTACAAGGAGTATATTCTGTGACTATGTGTTTCATGCATTTTACCAATAGAGCAAATGATAGCAAAAACTTGTATTTCAGGAAGTATACCCTTACAAAACACTACATATGAAGAACAACATAACTTGAATCTTGAAACAATAAAGTTGAAAAGTGTGAAGATCAAAAATCAAATCAAATATATAAAATGTTTTAATATAAAACACCTGTCTTGTATATTTTTTAAGTAAAGTGAGGACATTCCAATGATATAATAACTCAAATATTCTATTCTATTTTCATTGAATACATGTTAATATTTCCCTTGGGTATATTTCCCTTGCCCAAAATATCAAGTGTGTTTGTCTAAAGTTTACATCTCAACACTACAAGCTAGAATTCAGACTACTAAGAAACACTGTTAACAATGAGTTTGTTGGGCAGTAGTCTACATTAGATGATGTATAAACAAAGTAAATGATATAAGTGCAAAACTGATTATAGCACCTCCCTTTGCGGCACTTGCATTATGCCACGGAGCTACTTCATTCCAGATGGAAAACATTCTGACATGTCCTCCGCTTCCATATTCCACCTTCATTGGCAAAATATATATTTCACTTCCATGTCTAGGAATCTTGTCAATGTTTGCACCATTTTCAACACACCATTTATCATTTTCCATAATGGCACGATGGGCTAGGTACGTTCCTGTGTTGGCACCACTATCACAGCTTCTCGTATCCATTACAAAACCATTAATGTCTCTGTTCTGTAACAACCAATTAACAGCATCGGGATGTAAGCCAGGGGACTCAATGCTCAATCTTCCATCAGTCGTTTGAGGTCCAACATATGCTTCAGAATCACCCCAATATTGACCCCATCCAGAATACTGTACAATAACTGCTCCCTTGGGAATTTCACCAAATTCTTCCTCCCATGCCAGTATGTCTACAAGTTCTAAACATGCATTAGAGTCTTTTTCAGCCTTTTTACGGATGTCTATTACAACAGCTGGACCATGAAGCTCAGTTAGTTTCAGTTCATTTACCATCCTTCCTCCAAGTGCAAAATGTACAGGGGCATCAACGTGTGTTCCCATGTGTTCCGATATTTCCAAATCATTGTAGTATACACTAAAAAGTAAAATTAAAACTATAAGATTTCAAAAACACCAGAAGAGGTATAAACTGACATATATTAAATTCAACTACAATTGTAGATACAATCATACAATATTTTATAGTAAAGGGCCAGTGTCAATATAACTGAGAATTCTTTTGTAAAAGTTCATTATCCTGATTTTTAATGTGAATTTTAATTTCAAAAGATGAACATGTTCAAAACATTTTATCAATTTAAGGAATTATCTCTTATAAAATGATTTATCATATAGTTATCCCATACATTTCTAAATAGAGGAAAAATCATGTGCAGCCCTTGAAAACCAAGAGTTTTGTGCTTCAGTTCTGTTTTATCATATTCTGTACTCCAGGGTCCCTTCCCCCATGTTGTGTCTACTGTAGTGCAGTCTTCTTTTAAACTAATTGTATATAATTTTCTGGTCATTTAGCTATACTTCATCAAACTATATTACAATATACTTTTAAAATGTATATATATCATACTTACTATGGTGCTTCCTCAAATGTTCCATTGTTAATCAGCTTGCGATTGAAATGAGCAAGTTCTTTAAAATAAACCGCCTTCTCATTCAAAATGTATGTCATGTCAAGTATATCACCATGTGCGAACGACATCATGATCATCAGAGTGAAAAAACTTTGCTTCTCCATTTTAAATCTTTTTCATCAAATGACTTGATGATTTTTTTCCTGCACAGTCCGTCTTTTTTTAGTAAGCATGAGTCATCAGTTGAAGGAGGTACAGAGTGTCCCAAAAATCTCCGCATGTTAACAAGAAATTCATTTTCCAGTTGAAAGTTCATAGAAATTTATAAATTACTGTAAATCAGATTGAATTTGCAGGAGCAATTTTTTTCATTTTTCATATTTTTGTGATTTAGCACAAATTATAAAATAAAAAATTACAGGTTTTAAATTTACAGTATTTACAGATTTATTTGAGACATTTAGACCAATGAGCAATGAATAAATACCACAGGGCTAGGCACAAATGGGTCCAAAAGCTTTTGTGCCTAGACCTCCATGTAGGTATTTATTAATTGATATGATACCTGATCTGAGGTCTTTATTACGATTCAAGCATAATAAAAACTCACAAAAATTTTGCAAACTTGTTAATTCATTTTCTCCTTCCAGTTTAGCTCAGTACAGATCAGATATCAGTTTAAAGATTGCATGAATACAGTCATGTTTGAATCAAGTATAGTCTACAAAGACAATATTCAGATATGTTATTTTTATCTTTAATAAAATGTCAACAATAGAGGATTTATTGGGAACTTTGAAACCTTATAAATAAATGTGGATACTAATCATTCATGTTTATAAATATTTCTGGAGGATCCATTCCACTCTACAGGGTGTCAAATAAATATGTTCTCCACTTAGCTTTAACATTCTCATAATGTTGCATAACTTATTTGTCTGCACGAATTAGAAAAATAAAACCAGGCTTCATGGAGCAACTCCCCAAGAAGTTTCAGATAACTAGCTCAAGTAGATGCACTTTTATGCATAAAAAGTCATACAATTGAAATTAAGGGGGAAAACATATTTATTTGACACCCTGTATTCTAAGGCCAACTTTTACAAATGAGTACGTATATTTAGACTAATAGGGTTTATATTGGATATACAACCTTCTATTTCTAATTAGAACAAGTCAAGGTTAGTGTTGTATCAGTTGGGGTCAAGCTGTTCATACTTACCTGGGTAAATGAATAAACTTAAAATACCACAGAAGTTGAGTCTTCACTAGCAGTCTTGTTATGTGATTTAAATTTCAAAATGGTACATACTTTTAGGATATTGGTTTATAATATAAATTAAAGTGTATCTCTGTTTACTCGCTGATGATTTTCTATTCCTGTACCAAGGTTGGATTTGAATGCTTGATACGTTCGATTCATCACAGCAGTTTGAAAAGTTCAAAAGTCAAGACTTGTCGGTTTCTAAGATGTAATATTATTAAAAAATGAACATACCTCCCAGGTCTCAACAAAGCTGGGTCAAGTAGATCAGGCCGGTTAGTTGCCCCAATCACAAACACATCACATGCTTTATGTAAACCATCAAGTTCTGCCAGGAGCTGAGATACCACCCTGTGAAAATAGTAAACAACTCGTGAATTTTTCAATATCTTTTCACCTTTATATATAATACAGGAGGGTCTTTGGGGAGGGGTCAATTTTAAGGTTCTTACACCTTTTTCTTAAAGCTCATATTTCTCAATAGACATCATGGAAAGTTAAAACTACTTATCAATAAATGGCGAGAATGGGACATTTATGATGTGACTATGGGATATTTATGGTGTGAATGGGACATATATGGTCTGGATGATACATTAATGGGGTGAATAGGACATTTATGGTGAAAATGGTATATTTATGGTGTGAATGGGACATTTAAGGTGTGAATGGGATATTTATGGTGTGAATGGGATATTTATGTTGTGAATGGGACATTTATGGTGTGAATGGGACATTTATAGTGTGAATGGGACATTTATGGTGTGAATGGGATATTTATGGTGTGAATTGGACATGGTATGAATGGAACATTCAAGGTGTGAATAGGACATTAATGGTGTGAATGGGACATTTATGGTGTGAATGGGACATTTATGGTGAAAATAGTATATTTATGGTGTAAATGGTACATTAATGGTATGAATGGGACATGGTATGAATAGAACATTTATGGTGTGAATTGGACATTAATGGTGTGAATGGGACATTTATGGTGTGATTGGGACATTTATACTGAAAATGGTAAATTTATGGTGTGAATAGGACATGGTATGAATGAAGAATTTATGATATGAATGGGACATTTGTCAAAGACTAATTTGTCAAAGACAGTTTTGTGAAAAGCAGATAGAAAGTATAGAAAGTATAGAAACTGTAGACATCTGATTTGTCGAAGACAGTTATGGGAAAAAGCAGATCGAAAGTATAGAAAGTATAGACATCTGATATGTCGAAGACAGTTCTGGGAAATAGCAGATAGAAAGTATAGAAAGTATAGAAACTATAGACATCTGATTTGTCTAAGACAGTTATAGGAAAAAGCAGATCGAAAGTATAGAAAGTATAGAAACTATAGACATCTGCTTTGTCAAAGGCAGTTAGTATGAAAGGGCATTTCGAAAGTATAGAAACTATAGACATCTGATTTGTCAAAGGCAGTTGGTATGAAAAAGCAGTTCGAAAGTATAGAAACGTCGAAGGCAGATAGTATGAAAAAGGAGATCGAAAGTATAGAAAGTATAGACAATGTATAGAAAGTATAGACATTGCCATAATTCTGGATATACCTCCAAATATAAAGAGGAGGCAGGGAGCTTAGGTTGCCAAACTTTTGGAGGGGAGTGTATTTGCCAGAAAGACAGAGGATTGGCCTACCACAAGTTTGAAATCGTGTGTCTAAAAAGGATTTGGCAGCATTCTTGAATAAAATAATAAAACGTTAAATACTCAAAAACAAATCAAAGTTTATAATGATTCACAAGTTCATCTAAACTGTTTTCATTTCTCAAAACATTCATGATTCTCGTCATTAATGATAAAAACAGCGGAACGGTGATCGAATGTTTCATTTCATATGTAATACAATACTATTTGTCATCTGTCACTTTTATCGTCAGTACCAATTGAGAGTATTCGTGCAGCCATTACGACTTTTATTCGCTATTGAATATACTAGTTTTTAGTAAATAACTGTAAGTTCATGAGGTATTACAAAATGAAATATCAAATAAAATTCTTTTGATTTGGATTCTTTTCAAAAATCATCTAAAAAGTGTGGGAAAATAGCATGTGTCTGAATATCTTTGAATGAACTCTAAAGCATGAATTGGGAATGACGATTTATCAATGGTAGCTCGTCAAAAACATGTTTCTTAGAGATATGTTATAATTTGCCCTTAACAAAAGTTGGCTCAATGTATGCTAACCCTTGATTTGGATTCCATTGAACAATTAAACAAGTGCATGTTAAATTTAAATGTATGATTTTGCTACCAGATTTCAATATCTTTTCAGTAAAAGATTCACCAAAAACTATTTCAATATAGAAAATCAAATTGTTGCCAAACTTTTGGAGGGGTGTACATTGTATGTATGACAAACACAAAAAATGCTTTTATGTGAGGTTCACCGATGAAGGGGGGGGGGGGGGGATTTGTGGATACAACCATAACTGCTATGATAATGTTACATTTATGAATAGATTAAATTGTGAAAACATCATTCTTTTTATGAAACAATTTTGTCTCATATAATTTAATAGCTTATGTAAACGAGCTAGAACTCCAGAAAGGACAAGGAATTGACATCATTCCTTGGGTTCTGGTGAAAAGAAAACAAACATTTATTATTTGCAGAATGATTTGTTTATATTACACTGCTCTACGACCTAAATTAACCAAATTAATGCTTACTCCTTAATGTACATAAATAGAAAAATTCAGGATGTGCTGACATACATTTTACATTGTGAACACCGACTTTTGCAAAAGGATAGGTATCGATATGGAGAACTAAATTCAACAATGTTTTTCTCTTAAACCAATCATTGAAAACATTCCGTAAAGAAACATGGTATTTTATGTAATGTTGACTGATTGACAACAATTTAATGCGAAAATTATTTAGAAATATTTTATATAACTGTTTTTGTTGACATTTTTTGTTTTTTTAGTGCAATTGTTTTTGCTCCTTTCTACCAATTCTTGAGAATGAAATAAAATGTCTTTCCAAACCTTGATGGAACAAAATAGCATATACAACATATTTTTAGACCTCTCAATATTAAAGTTATACAAAGGAATTTTTGGTTGATTTTAAAAAAGTAATCAAAAAATTAAAACAAAATCCCCCAAAATAGATAAAAATCAAGAAAAAACTTTTATTTCATTAACAAAATACTTTTTTAAAATCAACCAAAATTTCCTTTGTACAATTACAATATTGAGAGACCTAAACATGTTGTGTTTATGTCGTTTTGTTCCAATGAGGTTCGGAAAGATGTTTCATTTCACTCTGGAAACATGATACCAAGAACAAAACAAGTGTTTGATGTGTTTTTTAAAACAATATAGATAAAAGTATGTATATCTATTTCAAATTATATTGTTACCATTCAAGAGATGGCCATTAAATTGACAATTTGTAAGATTTTCAAAAATGTTTGATGACTGATTTAAGAGAAACGTGTGTTCAAAAAGTTCGCCATATCGATACCCACTCTTTAGTTAAAAGAAGATTTCTATTGTTTTTGCCATTCATTAAGTTTATACACAAGTTACCAACATTTTTGCATGCAAGAAAGTATACATTTGAAAATTTGGAAATGAGCATTAGATTGGATAAATGACAGTTTTTATTTTTCTGAATAGTTGATAGACAGACTGATGGACGAACCAACGAATGGACAGAGGGACACAGACAGACAGAAAGATGGAAAATCTGCAATTCAATTTAATAGATTCAAACAGTAAGGTCCTAATGGGATATTTTATTATCTGAATGGGACATTTATGGTGTGAATTAATTTTGCATCATGATGGTATGAAATTAAAAATTAATTTCTTTGATCTCCATGGTGAAAACTTGATGTTCCTTGGTACTAAAATAATTGACAGATTTTAAAGCTCACATTATAAACCTCAATAGACTTTGCATAAAAAGTTGCAAATTATAGGAATTATGAGGGATAGAGAGTATAATTTGTTGGAAGAAATAATTTGCTTACAATCCCAATTTAAAAATTGTTACAAATTATACAAGAGATAATGATACCTCTTTTCTCTGGATTTATGCTTTTTCCAATAAAATATTTTTCTTGGATATTTCCAGTATGATATTACAAGGTAGAAAAGTGTCATATAAGGTATTGACATAAAAATTTATTCAGAGCTTAAGGAGAGGCATATTTTACCATTCAAATACTTAAGCTAATACAGACTTCAAACTTCTTCATCAGATCTTTTAATATCAATGGTCTGTCAGAGATTTACCATTTCTCATAGAAAATGTGACTTTCTATGATTTTATGTGATCAACAAGTATTTGAATAGTAAAATATGCCTCTTCGTAAGTTTCTGTAATTTTTTTTATGTCAATACCATAATGTTATGATACTTTTCTAGCCTTTTAAAAACGTTGAAAAATTTTCTGCCATACCCTACATATTGAAATGCACTAACCTGTCCATAACACCCCCACTGTCTCCACTACGCCCCCTATTGGGAGCCAATGAATCTAATTCATCGAAGAAAATTACACATGGTGTTGCACTACGGGCACGATTGAACACTTCACGGACATTTTCTTCACTCTGGCCAACATACATGTTGATTAACTCTGGACCCTTTACACTACAAATCAAAATCAGAAACATATTTAGTACACTACATGTACTGTAGGCACTGTAGTCTGGAATCACACTACATGTAGTTAAAAGATTTAAACATTCTAAAGAATTTTCATAATTAACACTACATGTACTGTACTCTGGAATCACACTACATGTAGTTAAAAGATTTAAACATTCTAAAGAATTTTCATAATTAAATTGACCCTTAATAATTAACCATAAATATGCCAGATCACTTGTAAAACTCAGCCTACCAAATAACATATGTGTAGGAGAACCATTTATTTTACATACATACCTAAGGAAGTTGAGTGAGCATTCAGTGGCTACTGCCTTTGCCAGGAGGGTCTTCCCAGAGCCAGGGGGTCCATACAGCAACACACCTGTAATTCAAGACAGAACTCGTATAAGGCAAAGGTTAAAACACAAAAAAAAAATTTAAGAAAAATTATTGCTCTTGTGAATTGAGATATTAAAAATTTCTTCTGAAACAAAGTCCTCTGACCATAAGGCATCAGTTTTTAAAGTTTGAACAAAATCTGCCAACCAGTATTTGACTTATGAAAAATGGCACCCATTTCCAATATCCCAGATGCGAGTAGAAATAATCTTGATTTACGTCATTAAAAATTCACAATTCAGTCAAACTGATGTCATATTTGGAATCTACATGTAAAATTACATTGGTTTTGAAAACTTTGAAAATTTAATTTTCTTTGAAAATGTGACTTCTAGGTCGGGGAGATTCCCCATAGACTGATAGACCCCATGTTGTAAAACCACAAAAAGTGAAATATTTTTTCTTGTGTTGGGCAGATAATATTTTCTTTTACTGGACATATTTTAATTTGTATAACTATCAGATACATAAGGGTAATACGAAAAGTTAACCACTAAAACTGATGCATATTCAAGTTTAAGGGAATTTTGTAATACCCTACCATGTTAATTCCCCCAAATCAGCCACCTGGTGGCAAAACTGGTAACTACCTACTCGCATCTGAGTAATTGAGCAGCCACATTGACATTTTTTCTCATAGAAGGATGGATGGACAGTTTCTCTATATCCCTACACAACCTTTGTATGGGGATCAGGCCTTTACAATATTTATAAAATACACTATGAATCAAGCATATGCCATCTTTTTCATCATAACATGGTCATATTTGTGAATTCTTTGATAATATTCAATTTTGATATACATGTACAGCAATTGTCTAAAATATTCAAAATCACATTGTAAACAGTCCTGGTATGAGCCTACAAATATAGTCAGGTCACAAATGTTTGGAAAATACCAAAAAGAAGTAATAATTAACACATTTGTTTCATTTACCATAAACTTTATTCTTTATTGATAAATATTTGAAGTAATTTTATACAAATTAAAATGATAGTCGAATGTCAATATGATTTATGATATTGTAACGGAATTTTAAATGTAAAATTTTTGATTTTTGATAAAGTGCTGTATTTTTGTACATTAGGTAATTATTACACTTGGAAAGTAATTTCCCATTGAGATTATTAAGATTTATAAATGTAGTATCATTTGCAGCACTTAGGTTGTACTTACAGAGGTGAAATAGTTCACATGTTTTATTTATTTGATCACGATTTTGTTTATGTTGATCGGGCAGTCTTATCTAGCAGTCTAATTTGTAGTTGATCGGTAGTCTAACATGGCAGCTTTATTATTTTACTTCCTGCTTTTGATTCGATTGAATCGAAGGAAAATTAGACTAGATAGTGATTAATTACTGTTATATTTCTTGAGTCAATATTATAATCTTGCTGTATGATCAATATTAAAGCGAAATATGGCGTAATTAAGCTGTAATTCACAGTTGAAATCTTGTACGAAAATCGATGACGTCATCGGGCCTATATAACTATCTCGCTGTTGAAGGCTCGTCAGTGCGATGCCAGATGTTGTCGAGGAAGGGCCTCCAGAGCGGAATTTCGGGAAACAGCTAAAATCTTCTAAGTTTTATAGAACTTAGTCGATTTTGTGGTCTTGAAGCTATACGTTTGCAGTATACACATGAAGATAGAAGCTGTACCTTAGTAGAATACATCTGATGAGCCAAGCTATACGTTTGCAGTATACAAGGGCAGATTGAGGAAACTAAGTGTGCGAAACTTAGTTTATTTTGGAACTTGGATTTTTGGGAAACTTTGATGTAGCTAAGTGAGAGGAACTTAGTTTATTTATCGCACTGGAAGTAAGGGAGATCTACAAGACTGGACAAAACTTCAACAGGGTGAAGCTATCCCCAGCGCAAAGCATTAGACGTATTGTCCAGCCTTCATAGACTGAGAGGAAATGCTGACATAACTTGTGTTTGAGAAACAAGCTATTTTGATCATCAAGGAACTTAGACGATTTACAACATTATTGAACTTAGTCAATATTTGGTGAAACATTATTTTGGACTTTGTTGTTTTTGGAGAAAGAAATATTTAACTTAGAATATTTCAACATCAGTATAACTTAGCATGAAATTAACTTAGTCAATATTTGGTGAAACATTATTTTGGACTTTGTTATTTTTGGAAAGAGAAATATTGAACTTAGAATATTTTAATATCAGTATCACTTAACATTAAATGAACTTAGTCATTTTAGAGGTCAAATATTTTCACATGTTATATTTTTGCATATGTCGTTGTGTGCATGCTATATTTGTAGGTAGCCTTGTTATTTAATTGTGAAGGAAGTAGGCTACATGGACTTAGCAGTTGATGCCGTGAATTAGACGTCCCTGGACTTGGTAGTTTGAAGATTGTGATAGTTTGACTTATACATCTACAGAGAAGAGGTTCTGGGACTTAGCAGTTTACTCAACGAGATATTTTGACTTTGATGATTTTTGGTCATTGAAGTTAGAATATACATCTACATAGAAGAGGTTCCAGGACTTAGCAGTTTATTCAACGAGATATTTTGACTTTGATGATTTTGGGTCATTGAAGTTAGAATATACATCTACAGAGAAGAGGTTCTAGGACTTAGCAGATTATCCAGCGAGATATTTTGACTTTGATGATCTTGTGTCATTGAAGTTAGAATATACATCTACATTGAGGAGGATCCTGGTGATAGCCGTTCACAGAGCTGATAGTTTGACTTGGATTATTTCACATAATCAAAGTTGAACTATACTACAACACTTTGAGGAGTATCCAGGAGATAGTCGTTTACAGACTTGATATAGTTTGACTTGGATTATTTCACATAATCAAAGTTGAACTATACTACAACACAGAGAGAAGGATCCAGGAGATAACCATTTACAGAGTTGATAGTTTGACTTAGATTATTTCACATAATCAAAGTTGAATTATACTACAACACATTGAGGAGGATCCAGGACTTAGGAGTTTACACAATTGATATAGTTTGACTTGGATTATTTCACATAATCAAAGTTGAACTATACTACAACACATTGAGGAAGATCCAGGAGATAACCATTTACAGACTTGATAGTTTAACTTGGATTATTTCACATAATCAAAGTTGAATTATACTACAACCCAGAGAAGAGGATCCAGGAGATTTACGTTTACGGAGCAATAGTTTGACTTAGATTATTTCACATAATCAAAGTTGAATTATAATACAACACAGTGAAGAGGATCCAGGAGATAGCCGTTTACAGAGCCGATAGTTTAACTTAGATTATTTTACATAATCAAAGTTGAATTATACTACAACCCAGAGAGGAGGATCCAGGAGATAGCCATTTACCGAGCCGATAGTTGACTTGATGATTTCACATTATCAAAGCTGAATTATACTACAATACAGTGAAGGGAATCCAGGAGATTTACGTTTACGGAGCAATAGTTTGACTTAGATGATTTCACATCATCAAATTTGAATCATACTACACTACATAGAGGAGGATCCAGGAGATTACTATTTCAGGTTCAAGTTACAAGTACAATACAAGACGTACAAGTATTACAACATATGTGAACTTTTAATATTGGAGATACAACAGTGGTATATAGTGATCATATACTTTAGTTTATATGGACTCTGGATATTGTGTTCTTAGTGATTATTATTAGCTTATACGGACTCTAGATATTGCTTTATTAGTGATAAATATTAGCTTATATGGACTTTTGAGTTGTGAGTTTTGAGAGAGATAATAATATCGTAGCATTTTAACCTTCATACTTGACATTTAATGTACATCTTTATTTGGGCTTATAAACGCCACAATATACTGTTTTATATTTATATTTAATTGTATATGTCTGTTTAATTCTTTAGGGACAATCGCACATTTAACGTGTGCCGTGTAACTCACCAAGTAAACACCGTTTACTAAACAGTGGGCCTATTATTAGCCACGCTACCACGTATATCCACAAAAATAGGCCAAACTGTTACATTGGTGGCAGCGGTGTTGGGATTGACTGTTGCTGAGGAATTGAACCAGAGGCACATTATAGCACTTTAAAGATGGATACAGAAGATCCAAAGTCAATAGAGAGTAGTGATCTCTCTGATACAAATACAGACAAGTCTAAAGATGTAGAGAAGACTGTCTTTGTAAAGTTAGTTACAGACGGTGAGATAGATAATCCCATAGCCAAGGATGACACTCTTCAATATACAGGAAGAAAGGCTACGGAACACATGGCTACAGAACTCCCAGCAATGGAGAAATGGAGGTTGCCAAGTGAGGCAGATCCAGATGAGAGACGCACTACAGTTGGTGGTGCAGAAGCAATCTACCCTAGTGATAAGACTGGGATAGAAGCAGAGTTTAAGAAAGCTTGGGGTGGACAGACTACTGGCTATTGGTCAGGCATAGTACATGATGGTGTTTATAGTCCACAGAGTCAAGCATGGGGAGCCAGACCCAAAGGAGATAGATATATGCCTCGCACCTCAACAATGATAACTACACCTGCCGAACTTAAACTGGGCATGCAGGAAAGACCAGTTGACAGAGAAATGAAAACACATATACATGTTATGGAAGATGCCATTAACCAGAATGTGACCACCATAAATATTATGGAAGGACATATGTCTAACATTGGTGGAGAAGTAACACAGATTAAGGATCAGATGAACAACTTATGCCAGACATTACAGATGGTATTACAAGGTCCAATTTCTCGCTCTGAGCCAGTATTACAGAGTAATGTCCAACCTTCAAGTCCTGTAGTTACATCAGGATTGAATCCAGGGATTAGGACAGAGTTACAGACGAAGTCAAGTGTAACCCCTCAGAGATTACAGTCTCGAGAGGTTGTTTCTACAATTAACCCACAGCAAAGACTGGTAGGGGGGTGCATAGTGGCTAATCGAGAATTGCCTATGAAACCCGATAGAGAGATAACACCCCCAAAGTG